GGTCCTGGTGGGTGAGAAGTAGACGTGGCCCATGCACATGTGCTGGCACCCAGAACCCTCCCTGTGCTGGGCTGGTCCCCCAGCGTGGGCAGCAGGGCAGGGGAGATTCTGCCCCACCTGCAGAGTTGCTTCCCACCCTGAGGCCCAGCACAGAAGGAACACGAAGCTGTTGCAGCATGCCCAGAGGAGGCCACAGAGATGACTTAGAGAATTAAGGGAAGGCTGAGAGAATTGGTGTTGTTCAGACAGGAATAGCAAAGGCCTTGTAGTGACCTAATTACAACCTTCCAGTACCTGAACAGAACCGACAAAGTCCTGGAGTGACAGGACAAGGGGGAACAGTTTTAAACTGTAAGGGGAGAGATTTTAGTTTGTATATTGGAAATAAATTCCTCTGTGTAAGGGTGGTGAGACCCTAGCACAGGTTGCCCAGAAAAGCTGTAGCTGCCTCATCTGTGAAAGTGTTCAAATGTTCATCCAGCCAGACTGGATGGGACTTGGAGCAGCCTGGTCTAGAGAAAGGTGTCCCTGCACATGGCAGGGAGTGGAATGAGATAATCTTTTAAGATTCCTTCCAAATTAAACCACTTTGGGATTCTATGATTCTATAATATGAAGCATGGGAAGGTGCTCACCCACCCCACAACCCACCTCCTGCTCCCCAGGAGTGTGTGCAGAGGGATCCCAGCCTGCAACAACACACAGCTGAAACCCTTTTTCAGCAAGGAGAATTATTTGGCATTAACTTACTGTAAATAATTTGTCTTGTTGCTTTCACACCAACCTGAAAGGGACCAATCTGATTTTTATTTATGGCTCAGCATTTGTTCTATTCTGATAGGGGTTGTAGATGTGCTGGCAGCCCTGTCCCCAGGAAGGCTTCACCTGGCAGGCAATCACAGCAGAGAAGGCCTCCACGGTGGGGCTGAGTGGGCCCTTCACCCACTGGCCATTGGGCACATGCCCGCCAATCCGGGCTGCGGGAGGAGCGTTGGCACACGGCAGCAGCAGCTAGCTGCGACACCGCGGGAGCCATTTCCCTGGGTACCTTGGGGCGAGCCCGCAGGGTCTGCGCGGCCCCCTCCGCCTCGCCTGTTGTTCCCCATGGCGCCGTTTCCCTGCCTGCACCGTCCTGCCCCGCTTGCCCGTTCCCGCGAGGCGCTCGCCGCCGTGACCACGCCGTGTTCCGCTCTCCTCCCGCCGGACGCCGCCGTCCGCGCTCAGCCCCCCGTGTTCCGCAGCCCCCGCGCCCCGAGCCGGGAGCGCACGGCGGCTCCAGGGCTGCAGCCACGGCGGCCCGCTGTGCCCGAAGGAGGAGCACGCGGCCCGCTGTCCCCGAAGGAGGAGCACGCCGTGCCCGAAGGAAGAGCACGCTGTCCCCGAAGGAGGAGCACACTGTCCCCGAAGGAGGAGCACGCCGTGCCCGAAGGAGGAGCACGCTGTCCCCGAAGGAGGAGCACGCCGTGCCCGAAGGAGGAGCACGNCTGTCCCCGAAGGAGGAGCACGCCGTGCCCGAAGGAGGAGCACGCTGTCCCCGAAGGAGGAGCACGCCGTGCCCGAAGGAGGAGCACGTGGCCCGCCGTGCCCGAAAGAGGAGCACGCTGTCCCCGAAGGAGGAGCACGCCGTGCCCGAAAGAGGAGCACGCCGTCCCCGAAGGAGGAGCACGCCGTGCCCGAAAGAGGAGCACGCTGTCCCCGAAGGAGGAGCACGCTGTCCCCGAAGGAGGAGCACGCGGCCCGCCATGCCCGAAGGAGGAGCACGCGGCCCGCCGTGCCCGAAGGAGGAGCACGCTGTCCCCGAAGGAGGAGCACGCCGTGCCCGAAGGAGGAGCACGCGGCCCGCGGTCCCCAAAGGAGGAGCACGCCGTCCCCGAAGGAGGAGCACGCCGTCCCCGAAGGAGGAGCACACGGCCCGCCGTGCCCGAAGGAGGAGCACGCCGTCCCCGAAGGAGGAGGACGCGGCCCGCCGTGCCCGAAGGAGGAGCACGCCGTGCCCGAAGGAGGAGCACGCCGTGCCCGAAGGAGGAGCACGCCGTGCCCGAAGGAGGAGCACGCGGCCCGCTGTCCCCGAAAGAGGAGCACGCCGTCCCCGAAGGAGGAGCACGCCGTCCCCGAAGGAGGAGCACGCTGTCCCCGAAGGAGGAGTACGCGGCCCGCTGTCCCCGAAGGAGGAGCACGCTGTCCCCGAAGGAGGAGCACGCCGTCCCCGAAGGAGGAGCACGCTGTCCCCGAAGGAGGAGCACGCAGCCCGCTGCTGTCGGGAAATCGCGCCCAGCCCGCCTCGGCAGCTAGGCAGCCGCACGGCGATTCGCAGCACACACGCTCCGTCTGCCAAGCCCGGCTGACAGACAGCCGCGGTTCTTGTGGTGACGCTGTCCCTGTCTTCTGTTTCGTTTTGTCTCTCGTTTTCCCTCTCTGCTCTTTTTTTCCTATCCCCCTTTAGTAAGAGCACTTACCCTTTTTTAGCAATAGATGGTTCTCAGATATAATATTGTTGCATTTGCACTTTATTTTTGTCCAAGAAATCTATCAAAAAGAGTCCTTGCCAACTCCTCCTTTTATAGCGGAACGGACACCACTCAACAGCTACTGTCCTTACCGCCCACTGTCAGGAGCTCCACACTGAACTCTGTCACGTGAAGCCCTTGCCATCGCTGCTCTGATCTGAACCATTTCTGTTCTAGCAATTCCAAACTCCATGTTTGTGATTTTATATTGTCATGTCAACCATTATCTGGCCTTTCTGTGAATATTGAATGACCCTGTGGCTCCTAACTGTTCGTTAGAGTGAGTCACGATATGATAGTATCTGATATCCCCATCACGCTGGGGATATCAGTCGGCTCCACAGCTCCCGGGGGTCTTCCCTGGAACTTTGCTGAAAACTGCTGGAGTTGTTTTAAGGCTAACGAGTAAATACCATCTGCTCTGGGGGACTTGTCACTGATCATTCAGCAGCGTAGCCGTCCTGAGATTCCGCCAGTGAACAACTGGAGGCAAATCCTCCGTTCGGCAGCTGAGTACCGCAGAACAACCTGACGGAGAGGGGCAGCCCCTTCATCGAGAACACCGCGTTGCTGTGTGATGCTCAGCGGGACGGGACGAAGGCGCAGCCACGAGAGGGGGCTCGGGGAAGGCGCAACGAAGCCAAGGCAAAGGTCTCAGCCCAAGCCCGAGCGCTGCAGCGGGTCCGGCTGGCAGGGAGCGGCCGAGGGGGCTGTGCCGCAGGGAGCCCCGCAGGTCCCGCTCGCCTCCCGGGACGCCCGGGCTCGGCGTTAACCAGGGGAAGGCAGACATTGAAATACTAAATGTACGTGATCACGCATATTTGTCCCCCTCTGTTTTCCCCAGGGATTCTTTAAATACATCTTTAAATGCCCAGAGAATCGAAAATTCGTGTAATATTTCTTCTCTAATGACTGTAACCTTGTACAAAACCTTTATTAGTGTGGCGGAAGAGTTGCACAAAGTTCTGAGAAACCTTCTTGCCTTCTGAGCTTTTCAAGGATGATGAATTTTGTAATAAATAAAAAGGTCTTTGTTCATCAAAACGAGCATTGAAGGCGATAAGAATTTGAACTGAGTAGGGAATCTCAAGATGTGGGAAAAGGAGGAGAGGGGGAGGGGGCCCGGGTAAACAGCATGTATTCTGTTTAAGAATTGTGCAGGTGCAACTAACATAGAAAACTGTGTAACTAACTATATACAAGTTAACTTTTAGGCCAAGGATAATCTGCAAAAAGATAAGGAGCCTTCATTCCCATGACCACCAAGGGCAGAGAAAAAAAAAAAAAAACAAGACCCCCTAACAACCAATTGCACCGGCGCAGAGTGCATCGAGAGAAAATACATCAACCGGGAAAAAAAAGGGGACTATAAAAACAAAAAGGTAAAAGGGGAAGGTGCACCGTGGCAGAGCAGAGGCTCCCCGGTCGCCCAGTGCTGTTCTTTTGCTTAATACCGCTTGGTTAATAAATTCTTGTTAATTTATTTATCTATTATTAGCCTCCCCAATTGAATTTTTCCATAACAAATTTGGTTTCATGAAGGTTTCAGAATTCCATACCTTTTTATTTTTTTTTTTTTTATGTTCCTTGTGCCAGGATTAGAGAATTTCACAGACCTACTGATGCTTATTGCTTAGTTTTTGCTTGCAAATCTACAGGTTCTGGCACTTTCTCAATAAAATCAGCTACTTGTGTGACTGGCAGCTGCTGGACCGAGCCGCTCTAGGAGCTCCGCACCTCTCTGTCCGTCCGTCGGGACATTTATCCCGAGATTCCAGAGACGAGAACGGAGCTGGGGAAGGGGCTGAGCCCCAGGAGCGGCTGAGGGAGCTGGGAAGGCTCAGGGCGCCCTTCTGGCTCTGCACAGCTCCTGACAGGAGGGGACAGCCGGGCTCTGCTCCCTGGGAACAGGGACAGGACAGGAGGAAACGGCATCAAGTTGTGCCAGGGGAAAGTTTCGGTTGGATATTAGTAACAATTTCTTCCCGGAAAGGGCGGTCGGGCGTTGGAAGGGGCTGTCCAGGACAGTGGTGGAGTTTCCATCCCTGAAGGCACGACATGTAAGGGGCGACTGGACGTGCACTCAGTGCTCTGGGCTGGGTGACCAGGTGCCGATCGGGCACAGGCTGGTCGAGCCAAAAGGATCACAACCGATGACCCCGCAACTCCTTCCCACCCTCAGCGGGTCCGCGCTCCTCCGACTGCGGGGAGGGCGGGACCCGGGGAAGCCACAGCAATGGCGCCCGACCGCGCCCGCGCGCGGGGGCCGCCGGGAGCTGTAGTCCCGGTCGCGCCCAGGTGCGGCGCCGCGCGGGGGCCGCCGGGAGCCGCGGCCGCCCCGGGGCAGGTGCGGCGCCGCTCCCGCCCGAACTACATGTCCCGGGGTGCCGTGGGGCGCGCGCGGCGCGGGCGCGGCGGCGGCGGGGGCGTAGCGAAGATGGCGGCGGGGGCGCTGCGCCCCGCTCCGGGCTGAGCGCGGCGCGGCCCCGCGCGGCCCTCAGAGCGGCGGCGGCGATGTCCGAGCCGGAGCACCTGGGCGGGAAGCGGGCCGAGTCGGCGCGGCTGCGGCGGGCCGAGCAGCTGCGGCGCTGGAAGGGCTCCCTGACCGAGCAAGAACCGGTGGCGGCGGGGGGCGGCCGTGGCCGGCACCGCGGCACGGGGGGCTCCCGCGTCCGCTTCGAGGAGGGCGCCGTGTTCCTGGCCGCCTGCTCCAGCGGCGACACCGAGGAGGTGAAGAGGCTGCTGGGCCGCGGCGCCCGCATCAACACCACCAATGTGGACGGGCTGACAGCCCTGCACCAGGTACGGGGCCGGGGAGGCGGCCCGGCTGTGTGTGCCCGCGGTCAGCACCGGGCCGGGGGCACAGCGGTACCTGCAGCCCCGGCCGGGGGTGTTGGTAAACAAAGGGTTCGTACGCGTTGGTCCGAGCCCCGTGCGGCGCGTTCAGCCTGTGTCAGAGAGCAGACCGAGGTTCTTCCAGTCGGGCAGTGGGATGTACCAACTTTTCACATGGTTATTAAGTAGGTTAATTAGCAAAATGAAGCGGGGGCTGGCAGGGCTGTGGGCCTGAACAAGCGGCCAATTTATTAATTTTTTGAAAACTTAGGATGTTGTTGGGGTCTCCTGAAGTGCCAGGAAAATTTCCCGGTAGGAGTATTTTGAAAGATCAGGGGTATCTGGCCAATTCCTGTGTTGTGTTTTATCAGAGTTGCCTTGAAACTCCCCAAACTGCTCCTTGGCAGGGAGCAGAGTGGCCGCATGGCCGATAAGCAACATAGATTCTATTAATACTCATCCAAAATATGAAGATGGTACAAAGTGGTCGTAGGAATTGGCTGCAGAGTGGTCAAGCCTTGACTGTCAAGAAACATGTGCTGCATTCCATCCGTAGCTTTTGCTGCTCTTGTAGCAATGAGCAGGAATGTGAGAAAACATGCAAAATTGCCTCCGCAGAATATTGGGAAACCTGTTGCTGTCCAAGACTGAGGATTTAGCAGGGCATGTGAAATCAGGCCCAGATTGATGCATCTGGTCAGCGAAATGAATCTGATTTGGATCCAGGCCAGCTTCACAAAGAAAATGTTCTTAGCTCAAGATAGTGTAGATTAAGCATGTAGTGTAACAACAGGAGTGGGGGGAAAAAAGCACAGTTCAGGAATAACATCTGGAACTAATGTGTTTGTAAAGAGTAATGTGTTAACAGCACAAATAGCAGGATAGTTCTTGAGTTAATCAGGATTTCTTCTTTGCTGGGCTGATATTACAGGAGCATTCGGGACATGTACAAGGTGTTTCAGGAGCTTGCTGGCTCCCGGCTGTCAGGGAGCAAGGGGCAGGGAGATTTATTCATTTTGCTTTAGGCTTCCAAAAATAAGTAGTGAAGTAAAGAACATGCAAGCTTACAGACTGTCAGGTTGAATAAGACTTCAGCTGGCAAAGCTGTATCCTTTGTAATGGACGGGCCTTTTTCTTGGTTATTTGTGGAGTTTGATGTAGCAATAACAAATAAATTGCCCTGCATTAGTAACCTCCAGTACAGCACATGTACATTTATTATCAGGTAAATTAGTGTCCTGTGGACACTGGTAAGAACCAGCCACTGAAAATCAGGTTATTCACAGCATTTTCACAGCCAAGAAGGCTGAATTTAAGGTGGATACATGGTAGAATTGGGATGACTTCAAGAGGGCCTTCCAGCCAGGACGGATTGTGATCTCCTCAAAAGAGCCTGGCTGTCCTGCTGCTGCGGGTACTGTGAGGTGTCTGGTGAAGGGCGCTGGACTCTGATGGCAGGCAGTGAGCTCAGCAAGGTCACACTCCTGGAGACCCTGGCAGGCCATGTACTGACAGGCAGGCTGCAAATTGAATTCTGTATACGTAAAGGATACAGAATTGTATCATATGTGCCTTGGGAGCACAGTATCGGGTGACACTGACCAGTAACACCTAGGGCTTGATACTTGGAAGAGCTTGGATGAGTGAGTGGTGGAGCAGATGCTGGCAGTACCAGCCAGCTGCTTACGTGAAGTGTTTCTTCACAAACTTGACGGAAAGGGAGGGTGACCTTACTGTGATTGGAATAAGAACTTTGTTCCAATGTCCCATGGATGTAATAACAGTTTTGCTGAGGAGCAACAAGATGTTCTTGCACACCCAAATGGAGAAAACACTGTTTTGTTAAAGGTTTTGCTGTGTATGTGTATCCTGAGTCTGTAAATCTCTATCAGATGAAAATGTTTATTAGTATGGTTGGGGAGGTTGTTTTGAGTTCCGTTCTCTGGACATCTCCAAAACAGATTTGTTTTCATGTTGCCTTTTCATGCTGCCTATAGTAAAGTGTCAGCCGAGGCCAGTTAGGTTGGGGATCCCCAGAGCACTGGTTGACAGCTGGAATGATGTAGTATGTGTGAGGATATTTAAATAACTTCTCTTAGTATTAGAAACACAATGTTACATTCCAGGGCAGATGGTAGTGACAGTCTGTTTCATACCTGTGCAACCAAATGGCCACTCAATGCGGAAGGAAATCCTACACATTGAAAAGAGCTGTCTTTGTTGACTGAAAGATCAGGTAAAAATATTTTTATTTAGTTAAAGAATTTAATATATGAGACCTGCTCTGGATTAGCAATCGGGTCTTTTTAGGTAATGGAAGGGTTAACCAAGTCAATTGACTTAATTTGTCAGAGTCGGCAGCTGCTCCCACAAAACCTAAGACCAATCTTACAAATCAGGTTAGTTTGTTTGAAGTGCAGGGTGGCCCCAAATATTGTGTGTGTTCACATAGGTAAAATTACACTTGCTCTGGTATCTGGGCCACTATGGCTGAGACCCATTGTGTGCTTGCTGTGTGAGAAGCTGGCTTGGCTATTTATAGCCACAAAGCTGTATTTTGAAAATAACCTTTTAAATTACAAGTGATGTTTCTGAGCCTGCAGCCTGTGTCACTGCCCTATTTGGAAGCATCAGGTGCCACACAGACCTGCACCACAGACCGTGTCTGGAACCTGTAGGGTGGCTTCAGTTGTACTTTGTCTACCTCAGTGCCTCAGAATGTTGCTGGAGGAACATCAGTCCTGTATTTTCAATTATTAACTTAATTATATTCACTGAATTATTTTTGACAATGGTTTTGTGTCTAATGCAAAGGATGGAAAGGGAGATATTGGTTAAGTGTGAGCGAACATTTAGAAATCATCAAGAAAACTTCTACCAGTTGATGAGAACTATTGGTGGTGGTTGAACTTCTCTAGTGTTTGCAGGTGGTGGGAAATGGGTATGAACTGCTCCTCTGTCTCCTGGGTGACAGATAAAACCAAAAAGTAAATTCGTATGAAAATTGAGTCCTAAGGGAAAAACATTCTGCTGCTTCTAGTTAGGAAAGCATCTCCCAATGTAATAATAGCAATGCTTGTTTGTCTTTAAGGACTGGTTCACAAAGGATGACAGCAAAGGTTATTTATCCTCTGTCTGCTCTTTCATGATTTACTGTTTCCCTTTGGCCTGTTCCAAGGAGAAATGAGTTGCTCATGAAATAACTCCTGTGTCATTTATAGTACTCTGCAGTACCTTGGTGGTTGCTGTTGACTTTCTTTCAGTTGTTGGGTGCCTGTGATCATTCAGGAGCTGCTTCCTGAATAGTCAGGTACTTTGTGCAGTGACTCTGGCTTAGGTGGAGGCTGTTTGTTGTTCTCAGTTTGTTATTCCTCCTTCTGAGCCAGGGCTGTAAAACTGCAGGCATGTCTGGTTGCTCCTCAGAGCTTTATAAGGTGGCATCTGTGTCAAAAGGTTTGGGCAATTTTCAGTTGCTGCTTAGCAAGTTTGCAATTTCCTCATACAGATTGTGTGCAGCCGTAACAAAGCAGGAAGCAGCAGAATTTTTGGACAGTCCAGAAAACAGACAGAGATATTAGAGAGCACTCTGCCCCATCACAGCAGTCTGGAGACTGTTGGAAGAATCACTGAGGTGCTAACACTGAAACAAAATCTAGAGAGTGAGAGGGGAAGGAGGAAAGGATTCTCCCACCACTTCCATGTTCAGCACTAAACCATGTCCTTAGGTGCCACAACTACACACTTGCTGAGCACTTTCAGGGATGGTGACTCCATCATGTTGCTGGGTAACCTTTGCCAGGGCCCGACCCTCCTTTTGGCAAAGACTTTTCCATAAGATTCAGCCTGAACCTCCCCTGGTGCAGCTTGAGGCTGTTCTCTCTCATCCTTGTTCCCTGGGAGCAGAGCCCAGCATCCCCCAGCTCCCTCTCCTGTCAGGAGCTGTGCAGAGCCAGAAGGATCCCCTGAGCCTCCTTTTCTCCATGTGGAGCCTCTCAGCTCCCTCAGCTGCTCCTGGTGCTCCAGCCCATTCCCCAGCTCCCTTCCCTTCTTTGGACACAAAATTTCTCAGTCACCAAAATGTAACAGCCAGTCTGTGCCTTGAAAGATGAGGAGATAACACAATTTACAGGGACATGATAACTCTGGAATGAATGTTCAGGTGCCCCATCTTTGGGACATCACAGCTGTGGTTTAAGGTAATTCAGCTTCTGATCTTTAAGTTGGTGATGATAGCATAATAAATCAGGCTGCAGTTTTTAAGATTGGGTGGCTGCATTGCCTAAAAATACATTCATTCCTGGAATAGAAGGTTATCTAGGGAGAGTCATACCTTTCCCACTGTGCTGTGCAGAGTTCCCTTCTGAAGGTGTTCTTCTACCAGAAAAAATAAAAGTTGCAATCTCCTTGTGCTGCATGTAACACTGCTCATCAAAGTGAAACATGGCACTGTCAAAAATAGTTTATCACTAGGGTGAGTGGAATGGGGTTTTTGGGTTTCATTTATAAATGAGAATTTAGTAGCATGTACTATCCCACAGGGCTCAGAACAAAATGAGATAGCTTGGAAAATGCCTACAATACACAAGGAATTTATGAGACATAATAGTTAAAATCTGAAGTTCTATTTTATCAACCTCATGTTTTTATTTTCTTCCTTTTGGCTTACTCAGTCCCTGTTTTACCTTGATGATGGTTTCCATGAAGGGTTCAATTGTCTTTCCCTTGCATCTCTATTTCCAAGTCATCTCCTGAATGGGCAGAATTAACTGTAGACTACACAAACTAACCTTGAGCTGCAGTTAGAGCCTGGGAGAGCTGCTACTCCTGGCAGCAGGGCAGAAAACCTTCCCCTGGTTTGGTTTGGGGCACTTTCAACTGGTTGGTTTGGCTTCTGGAAACTGAAGACAACCACATCATTTACTCAATACGGGGTGCCTGGGAGGAAACTGCATTTTAATAAGAAGATG